GCTATTATGCCGCCCGCAGTTGGAATCAGCTTCCAGAAGAGATCAGATGTGCTAAAACATTAGTCACATTTAAACCTAGACTCAAAACTCATCTGTTTAGCTGTGCATTTACTGAATGAGCACTGTGCTACGTCCGAACTGATTGCACTGTATTTTATGTATTATCATTTTCTATTCTTAACTGTTTTAATTCATTTTAAATCAATTTTTAAATCATTTTAAATGTTTTTAAATTCCTTGTTTTTATTGTTGTGATTATTTTTTATGATCTTTTTAATCCCTTTTATGTAAAGCACTTTGAATTACCATTGTGTATGAAATGTGCTATATAAATAAACTTGCCTTGCCTAGCCTTGATAGGCTGGACACGAGGAGCACACGAGAAAGTAACCACCTCCAGTAGCTTGCTAAGAGTACATGTACACTGTTCATGAAATAGTTTAGATTCTGATCTTGAGAGGAACTCAAATGCGGAGGACGATCATGTAAATAGCAGCTTGATGGCAGATTAAAGGGATTCTAAACCACTGCATTGTTTTAGGAAGGCCATTAGTTTAGGTAAAATGATAGAAGGTAGTATTTTGGTTCTAACAGCGACTAAGAGAGCATAAACTCAGATACATAATTAACATTCTATAGATTAGACTCCTGCATGCGCTTGATAGAACTACATCTAACTGCCAGAACCCACCGAGGAGACCCTTCCCCCCAAGAAAGAAAATAAGCCAGAACAGCATGACACATAAGTAAAATAAATACTCATTGTTATGGCCCCAATATGCCATAACATGCGAAGGCCCTGATAGGCCAAACTTTATAAACAGTAATAGTCAGACTTACCTGATGACCACCAGAGTTATGTGAAGGGCCACAATAGTCCATGTAATGTGAAGGCCACGATAGGCCAAGTAAGACCGAAGCCAATAGGAATGAGGAAACTGAATGAAACCACCACCAGTATCTGCAAAGATAAACATGCTTTGATTATAGCTTAAAGATGCCTGCTGAGCATTGAGCCAGATCTTACCTAGAACTCGAGTGGGAGAATGACCATGTGTGCATCAGCTTGATATAGACTGCATTCGTAGTAGCATTAGTCCAAATAACATGACCTGAGTTAAGATAAGGTGAGGTATTTTTACAAGAAGGTATATTGTAAGCAACATAGTCTCTATAAGTGTAAAATATTATATAGGCCTATAATAATGAAGCCTCACGATGCCACATATCAAAGTCTGAATGTTATTGAATGAGTCTGAGCAAAACATGCCATTAAATATTCTCTTTTGTTGGAAAACGGGTTTGTAAAGGCTTCTCATAAAAGTAAATATATTGAAAATATTGTAAATGTCCATGTGTCTATTAAATGTACGTTAAAGGTGGCAACTGAGCTTGCAAAGATGAATCGTGCAGCGTTATGCAATTCATGCACTCTGATCTCGGTACTGTATTTTATCAATAATACGCTGAGCAAATAATGATTTGATAAGAACTTATTTTTTTCAAAATCGCACTAAGCCAAAGTGCAACCTAGGCTCAAATTGGGTTAATCTGCTAGATTAACCTCATACATGAACAATCACACAACAACCAAGCGCTTTGTCTTAAACGTGTGTGTATGTGTGTGAATAACCTTCCAAAGAATACATTCTGCGTCCAACTTCCACAAGTGCATAAAACAATATAAATACATCACAACAATTCTGTTGATTTCTTGAACGCAACAGCCAATCAGAGGCATTTAAGTTAGAATCCACATGTTGTGTTCAGCACAAATCATCTCATTATAACAAGGTGTAGACTCTATGTAAATAAGAGATTCATTGTGCAGTGTAGAGTACTTCATTGATTATAACCTAACTTTGTGAGATCGCAATGAGCTAAGATGAGTGACAGCTTTTTAGTGATTATCAAGGGAGCACTCTTTGCACCATAGCAATAGACGGCACTAAAACCTTTACGCTACCAGTCAAATGTTTTTGAACAGTAAGATTTTTAATGTTATTTTAAAGAAGTCTCTTCTGCTCACCAAGCCTGCATTTATTTCATCTTCGGGTTTCTCAGGATGTGACAGATAATGATGAAAACACACATCTTTGATGAAACATGGTTATTAGTAACAGTGCTGCTGTAACTCTTCGTGGAGAAGGGCGTCGTGTTATTTCAGCAGAGGAAGATGAAGCTGAGTCTCGCGATGAAACACGGTGTAAAGATGATTTTAGGATGTTTTCTTTCTTTCTTCACACACAGTCGTTTAGCGGAGCTGTCCATGCTTATCTTCTCGATTGACTGACTTAAAAGCGTGTAGTGTCGTTCTGACCTGCTTTGCTCAGTGATTTTATTCAGAAAAACTCAAATATTGCTGGCTGACGTCATGGTCAGTTCACAATCACATGGTGTTTTATTGTCAGAGATTTCTTCCCTAAATAATGCAATATTGTATAAACCCGCTATGAGGTTAGTGATTGTGTGTGTGTGTTTGTGCGAGCTGTCATTGTGATTTCAGCATCTTTTACAAATCACCGACAGTCCTGAAGTCCTTAAAGGGGTCATATGATGCGATTTCAGTTGTTCCTTTCTCTTTGGAGTGTTACAAGCTCTTGGTGCATAAAGAAGATCTGTAAAGTTGCAAAGACTACAGAGTAACGCGTCATGTGTGTGTATGAGTGTTTGTGAGTGTGTGTGTGTGTTTGTGAGTGTGTGTGTGTGTTTGTGAGTGTGTGTGTGTGTGTGAGTGTTTGTGAGTGTGTGTGTGTGTTTGTGAGTGTGTGTCTGTGTCTGTGTCTGTGTGTGAGTGTGAGTGTGTGTCTGTGT